AGAAATTATAATTGATAATCCGATGCACTTCAAGAAAAGATTGTTAAGCTTTTTACTCTAGTGCTTGCTAAACAAAAATGCTCTTTATCAAGCTGAGGAAAAATGCTCATTATTATATAATTAAAAATTCATTCTTTTCATGAATTCTGGGGTCAGAATGAGGAATTCGCCATAAAAACCTCTGTTTCACTCCATATAACGCTTTTACTCAGTTGTATTGAGACATCATTACAAAATTTCTTTGAAATATCGCAACTCACGTAATCGAGCCATGCGTTCACGTAGACGATCTGATTTTTTTCATCGACGTCGATGATTTGTTGGAGAGACACCTGAAGAAAAAGAAGTATTCCACTCTCGATAGATATTGATTCATTTTCTCAATTAGAGTGATGAACACGTTTCATATATTTTTTTTCCTATTTTCCTATCCTATTTTTCCTTTTTTTGCTATATGCTATATGAAAAATAGGATGTGTTTAAGTGATAGTGTCGATTTTATGTCTTTCCTGAATGACCAGGCTGCTAAAATTCACCTGAGATTTCTGAGCTAATCGGTAGACATGCGTCTTTTTAAAATAAAATGGAGTAATCACCTTAAGCCTGTCTGCCAGTGCATAAGGAGTCTGTCTCAATATGATCAGGCCCTTGCGATAAACTACCTGCAGCTTGAAATTTATGTTTTTTCCGCTATCAGCATCCACTTTCAACCTTTTGGTGAGAAACTTATTTTTGCTTCTTTCTGATCTTTCCGTAATAATATTTTCTTGAATATTCTTAAGACACTGCTCAAAACAATATATGCCTTCTAACATAATAACGTCATAGTCATTCGATGCTTAAGTCTCGAAAACTTGAATGTGTACCTTATTTTTCAGATTGTCTATTTATTGCGCTGTAGAAGTAAAAAGATTATTACATACTCAAGCACTTTTCGCTTAACAAAGCTTTTCTTTCAGACTGTTAGTAATCATTCGATAGCACAAATCTCAAAGATTTCAAAAGCATGCTTTGCTTTCAAAAAGCTTCTGCACACGGCGCAAATTTCTTGTCGGCTAGGGTGTGTGAAATGTTCCGAAGGCGCGATGGCTTGATGCCAATGTTGGGAAATCTTATTCACGTAGCCGAGCAAGGAATACGCACCTCGTTTGAAAATGCGAATTTGTTTTCTGAGTTAAAAACCGAGTATGTCTTCAAATCGTCGAGATTAAAGCTATTGAATATCTTATGAAAGTCTAAGGAAAAACTTTGTCCAGCGAAAAATGCTCGGTATGAAATATAATTATACTCTTACTGTCACAACGAACTAAGGAGGTTATTTTAAAAATAAAACAGGCTGTTCGAATTGTCCAGACTTCAGCTATCCAGTGACTACCGAATTGTTTAAAAGAAGTGAAAAATACGTTTTTCTCAATGGGCTGAATATGGATGCGATAGTGGAAAAATCCTATTTTTTCTCAAAGGTGCTCAGTGCTCATTTGATGTGAACTCTGGATCGGTCATTTCATTTCACTGAATAAAGATAAACAAGGTGGTGACGGTCACAAAGTTATTCAGTATGAAAGTAAAAATCAGATTCTTGGTCCTTCGGTGGAGTTATGAAAGTGTAGGCATCGTGTCAAAGTTGCTCTGACATAGTCTGAAGAAGACGAAATCTCATAAAATCTTTTACAATAATAGAACAAAGGCCACGAAGAGCTCCTAATCAGCGCATCAAAAACACAACAAGCTATCTGCAATTTTCAGAACGATCGTCCTTATCCTTAACAAATTGACTTATCTGTAGAGTGTGCTGAGTTGTTCTTTTGGTACTGTATTCTGAAGATATTAACTTCTTTGATGACACTCGCGAGATGTTAAACGTGCCTATTGATAAGAAATAAACAAGCTACTAACTTTGAGGTAGACGATAACAGGCTTCGAGTGGTCGGCTACAGGCCTTTCAAGATTGTTGTACCCGCGCAGCAAGTCCTCGTACAACCGACGTTCATCGTACGACGCGAAAGCGTAGAACACGATTGACGAGCAGATGACGAGAGAGTGCATCATTTTCCATGCTCTTTACTCCTAGAAACGATCCATCTTCTATTGATGTCGTTGTCATATTATGAAATTAATGCCGTTCGAGCAAGAAAATAATTCTTCGCAAAGCAGACAGACTCAAGTTTTGGTGCATAAGGTTATCGTTAACTCTTTGGGAACGAATTTCATGCTAAATGTACGACTGCTTCCTTGGTTTTTTCACCGGATGAAAGTTGTCCATTGAAATCCCGACAGTTTGAGAAACGACTACTTCGGTCACGTACTAGGCTTTCTAAAAAACTTACGATGCGCTATGGAAACAAAGTAATGTTATTGTAACAATCGATTTTCATTACTTGCTCGGTTCAAGCCTTTAGACAGATTTTCTTCAAGTCATCAGTAGTCATTTGATAGCTCTAGCCTCGATTGTTCTATAACAATGCTTGATTTCGCAAGGTTTTATATAGCCTTGTAAGAGTGAAAAGAAGATTACGTTACACACTCGGAGTTTTATTCGCATAGATGATATATAAAAACGCCAAAGCGTATAAGCTTATAGAGAAAATCAAGGAGTATTAAAGAAAGGTTTTTCTACAAAATTGAAGAAGCCCTAATTCACGAATATTGCGCGACGCTTGCTAATCTGCAGGTGCAATCGATCAATTACCGCACCCAAAAGATTAAAACGAACAGCGACACCATATAGGAGCACTGAAAATCACGAATACGATAGAAATTCTATAATTCATCACCTCTTAGCACGAAAACTGCTGAAAACTGAGCAGAATTGGGGAAACACTCAGCTAAATGTTAGAGATGTCCTAGGCATAAAATTGCGATCTCGACGCATGAGCAAAGAGCATCAACTCGCAAACTTCCAGAGAATGTTGATCAAATTCAAAATGGATAATGAGTTAATCAAACAAATTCCCTACGTGCATATCACATTTGAGATACTCTCATTTGCCAGAATAGTGTGTTACATGAACTGGCATCCAACTGTCTTTGCAGTGCGATAGTTATATCTTCCCTGTGCATTAAACGCTCCCATCAAGTGGTGTGTATGACGTGAAACTCCACATGATTTGATCGAAGCCCAAGTTGTTTAGATCAAATGTTGTGCGGCGAGCAATATGCTCGCTAGAGCACTTTGGAAGACTTCTTAACCTTTCCGAGGTTTGCTATTAAGCCACTGAAATCACCTGTATCACCTGTATCACCTATCCTCCCGTTGATCGTCGAGTGACTCGAATGAGTATCAGCAACTCTTCCATTTTTCCCTATCGCGTGCAAGAGTAGCCCAGTGGGTCCTCCTTGCTCTAGGGATTCGCTGAGCATCATATCTTTCTTGTATCGCTTTCGTGAAGAAATCGGACCAACGGGTCAGAGGTCTTCCTTTAGAGCGCTTGACGTCCCGAGGAATCCAGTCGGTAACTGCTCTCGTCCATCGGTTGTCGTTGAAGCGCATCATGTGTCCGGCCCACCTTAATTTCGATATCCTGGCGTGTAGAACGGCGTCTCTAATTTTCGATCGTTGACGTAGGTCGGAACTTCGGATCCTTTCTCTCATTTGCGAGATACGAGATACTCCTAGCATCAACCTTTCGACTGCGCGTTTGATAACGGCAAGTGATCTTTCATCCTGCTTGCGTAGCGACCAGGTTTCTGCTGCATACGTCAGGGCAGGGATAATTGTCGAGTCGAAAAGGTGGGCACGGAGTCGGATGTTCTTTGTCCTCTTCACTACATCTTCGATGCTCTCAAACGTTCCCCAAGCCGCTCGTTTCCTCCTGCTCAACTCTGGAGCTAGGTCGTTTATCATGTTGACTAATAGCCACTGAAATAGCTGTCTCAAAAAGGCTAAGTCTTTCAGAATATATCGAGTTCAAAAACGAGGCCTTATAGACAGTCGACTAAATCCCGAAAGTCCGACTCTCTTTAAGCTTTGCCGTGAGTGAAGAAATACAAAATATCTTACAAGCTGTCCTTTCCTTTAGTCAAAACTTGCACAAAGTTGATACTTCTACTTTTTTTAAAATTTGATGGCTAATGTTTTGGTGAGCCCGCCTTCGTCAGAGCTTTATTTATACTTAGTGGGGCGAGGTCACCGGTCCTCTGCGGCACAACTTGGAAAATTAAAATCACTTCTTCAAAGTGTATCACATAAGACCAATGACCGTTCCCATATAAGCATAAACAAGGCTCTGACGAAGGTGGGGTAGCCGAAACGTTAGCCATCAAAATTTAAGAAAGGAGATGTACCAATCCCGCTCAAGTTTTAGTTGAAGAAATAATTAGTTGATTAAAAGGCACATCAAATAGAACTGTCCACATTCCACTACATCGCAAGAATTTGGTAATAAAGTTGTGCTGTTGTAACATTTAGCTTGTAAAATGGAAAGTCCTTCAAATGCAATACCTAAGCGCCACTCTCGAAAATTAAAAAATTACAGTAGACGGCCTGGAAAAAGTTGGGATTAACAGTGGCATGAAGTCAACTGAAAAGCTGATTTGATGTCGTTTACGGCATGATCAGCCGCATATGGATACGAGGGTATGAGCAGGATGTGAGGTGATAAGAAGTCTAGTTGTAAAAAGATAGTTAGAAAGCTAGATATAAAAGATTAGCTTTTTGAATATAGCAGACAAAGTCAACTAAATGTTTCAAAATGAATGGAAGAGGTGGTTAGTCAGCTATGAAGAATCAACGGATCATGTGAATAAATCGTGAATATATATTTTCGCGCTGAGATCCGTAGGTTCAGCAAGAGATGTGGGAAACAGTACCATTCGAGAATAAACTAAAGAAATGTAGTAGTACATTAAGATACTGAAAATCTAACAATATTTAACCACCTACTGCAGATTTCAAGGGAGATCGGCTCTTCATGAGCCTATTTCAATAAACTTTGAATTTTTCTAGGAAATAAGAATTTATTAAAGAGTAGAAGGCGAAGAAAGAGTGGTGGGCGAAATGGGCATCAGTAGTGCAACGGACTAGAGTACGCGCTCCCGGATAGGGTGAGATGTGGGTTCGGTTCCCGCCTGACGCGAAAGTCTTGCGCTTACTCTGCATAACTGGGTACAAGAAAGTACCATTTGTCAGAAGTGGTTCCTAGTGATTTTGAAATCACAGTGAGTGACAGACTCCACAGACGATGTCTTGCAATAAGATCAAACATAGGTTTTCTTCTTGTATCGAGCACCTGCTTAGTAGTGATTCCATCCAAAGTTCAAGGAGCTGAGGTGGATTCGATGCGAGTTTTCTGTACATCCATGACAAATAACTGTGGTCCTTTGACGATCGGCCTTGATTAGCTTCACGCGATAGTAAGTTGGACGGAAATTGTTTCGTCACAGAGCTTATCTCTCACCCATTGAGCAATGAAAGAATGTTTGCAAGTTTATCGCTGACTGCGATTTTCGCACAAAAAGCATAACGAAGCGATGGCACCACGGCAGCACCAAAGTGGCCGCATGTGATCAATGCCTGGATGAATGGTGTCATCGTCACCGCTACTTACATATTCAGCGGCGAATTACGATTTTCAGAGAGATATTTCTTATAGAAAAGGCACAAAGTGAAGAGACGTTGCGGAGGACGGTTTTCATTCTCATTCTGATCGCTCTTATTACATTTATCGAGCTTCCTAGGTAGTAATTCTAACTTCTCATCATCTGAAAATAAAGGGTACTGTTCTATTATGGCTGCGCCACTTGAGGCCTTCGGTAAAAGGGTATTCTTTGCTGTTATCTGACGAAAGTATGATTATCTGATAGCTCAAATCAAGTGAATTTTTAAGGGCATATTTTATTTCTCATATTGCTTGTTTTTAAGGCCGTACTAGTCAAAATGAGATTTTGTTTCACGTTTGAGGATTTCTCGCCTGATAAAAATTTTCTATAGCGAAATTTTATCCATTAGATAGAGCAAATCTTTCTGGTCAGAAAAATGTGTTTGCTCTTTGGTATTCCAGCTTTACACACACCCTAGCCGACTAGAAGTGCTCACTGGATGTGAAACCTAATATTCTTTTGGTCGTTACAAAACTAGAAGATGTCCTTCCCGATAGCCAAACATACCACAATAATCAGAAAAATTTTCTCTATTTAATGATTAAAGCCCATTACAACAAAACTTTTATCCAGCGCGAAATCTTCAAATGAGAAACAAAATCTTATTTTGACTGGTACAGCGCCAAAAATAAGCTATTTAAGAAATTAAGCATGCCATTAAAATTCGCGTAATTTGGACCATCGATAAACTACAAAAGCGTTTCGCAAAATCAAAAAACTCGTTTTTCTCGAAAGACTCAAGTGGCGCCGCCATATTAGAACACTATCGAATAAAGTCTTTAATAATAATTATTATTATTATAATAATAAAAAATAATAATAATAAAAATTAATGACAAAGTAGTAAAAAATAATAAAAAATAATAATAATAAATGAAAATAACAATAACAAAAATAATAATAAATAATAATGATTTTACAAGAAAGCTTTTTGACGCACTGAATGGATGGCAATACTAGCCTGTTTTTACAAAAAGATTAAATGAGGAAAATGGCTAAGAGTGTTGCTGGTTTTGATTGGAAATAAGTGATGTATAACACAAGGATATAACGGCAAAACCTATGACACTAATATTTTGTCATCGTATTGACGTACTCTAAACATTCTGCTCTTTTGTCTCATGTAGGATGATAGCAAGTAATTCGATATGACTGCGGATCAAAAACAGTTGTTCTAACATGCCTGCTGTTCCAAAATAACTTTTGTACTTACGAATGTTAATGTCCTGAACGAGGCTTCTTTATGTACACGTTTTTCGGTCGTGAATACACATTTCGATACTCACAATGTGATCTAAGCTAAAACAGGTCCTCCAGCTTTTCGAATTCTTCTTCCCATTTTATGGACCGAAGATAAGATCGGCAATTTGCAAAAAACTAGGTCGCCGTGCCTTGACTAACTGTTGTTTTTTTAATGAAACACTATTCTAATGCGATGGCCAGCCACATTGTGATCGGATGGTCGTCATAGGGTTGAAAGTTTAGTGAAGAAATTTGTCTGTTGTCATTACTCACGTGATATTAATAAAGTTTCACCACCCATGATGTTCGGTGAATACTGAGATGTGAGTGAACACGAGATGCTAGAAATATGAACAGTATATGTACAAAATATGACTCCGCCGTTTCTTTTTTTTTTGCTGTAGCAACAGTTAAAATGAAGATATGCAGACATTTTTTATTTCCATTTTTCTTCTTTGAGTCAAATACGAGGTGTTATATAATTTCTCTATTCAATAGCTGACGTTTCGGCAGTTCGCCTTGTTTAGAGCTTGGAAAGGTCACGTTGTCTACAATTCAATCAGTCAAACACCTTCACTACTCCTTTGGAAAAAATCACCAGACCTAGATTTCAATCGTATCAAGCACAAAATCAACTCTCAACATACTTACCGCTTTTTTATATGTGTTCTACTGAGAAATTCAAGAGGATTACTCACCGGAGGGAGATCACATAGGCTCGTAATGCACCCTACCCATCAAAACAACAGTCTTATATACTGACTCAAATCACGAGTGATAACGAGGCATCATCCCCTGCGGTTTATTTCTGGATTGGTGATATTTATTCAAAACGCTTCTAAAATTCCGTGCTGATGTTCTATGTTCCTGCGTAAGGATGGTGACATCTATGTCATAGTTTACTCCGTCATGCTTCTGTGCTCTATGTGTCCCTAGCGGGGTATTTCGTCTAATAAGACGCTTGTCAGCTAGGTGTTCTTCGATGCGGGCATAGAGCGGTCTACCCGTTTCCTCAATATGAATTTCCACCTTTCTTTTGTATGAAAGTGCGCTAAGAACGCTACTTATCTACATCTTTTTATATACAAAATATTTTATGAGATGATTGTATAGGACTTTGAATATGGTACGACATTTCTGCCCGAAAAACGCCAATTTTTTGATTTGCTAAGTTGTTATTCGGATTTGGTAATTTTAAGTGGTTATTCAACGGTGCAATGTCGGCAGAGTAAGGCGGCTAAGGTAAGGCCTCCTCAGCCCCCCACCTCATCTCTTTCATGACGTTTTCTCTCGGTTTTGCAACATAAGACCGAACATTATCATGGAGCGAAATTGCAAAATATTCATGGTTATTGAAGCTTACGCGATGTCACAGTTGCAGAAAGGATGGCTAGGAGATGTTCCGCGAAACTCAAAGCCGAAGAGAACAGTCTGGAGGATCAGACGTGTTCAGACCGTCCACAACAAGCTCCATTTATCTCACAAGCCGCTTCATTAGCGTTTTCTCCTACACTCCAGTTGTGCATGAATAGCAAGCCAATTTGTTTCTACGACAGCTCTATCTTAAAACAAATCTAGGCAACTTGTATACCAAAATGCTCGCAGGGAATTGCGCAATCAAACTATACCAAAATCAAGCAATTTCAAATACTTCTTCTTAATGATGCCCAAAGTAAGTTTCCGCAAATGGCATTTTTCAAGTACGAAAGTCATCATCTTCAAAGTCTTGTATAAACAATGCTATAAAATGTTCTGGATATAAAAATCATGTAACTAAGTATCGTTCCAGGCACTATAAAACAAAAAAAAATTTGTGTTCGATCTGATTGAAAGTGAACAAATGACAAACCGACTTCATTCGCTGAAAAAGAAGTCTTCATAGAGGTGATAGTAGTCATTCAAAAACTTAGAATTTCTAGATAGAGTCCACATAGCCGGTTTTTCAATACACCCATTTATAACGCTGTAAAATCCAAAATAAAATTATGTTTCATAGAACCTTGTTTTTTTCCTTATGTCGCTATATTTCGCTGGGCAAAACTCCTTTGCTAAGGTGCTAGTATTCATTCGATAACAGGTTTCGACGAGCTCAAAAATGTGCTTGGTTTTTGTAAACGGTGTTTTAATAGAGCTCTATAGAAAAAAAAGAGATTTGTGCTTCACAGCTCACCGGACAGAGCTTTTTTTGGACTACTAGTAAGCATTCGTTAGCGTGATGCTTGCTGATCTCAACAATGTCCTTATTTTCTGGAAAGACCGTTTCTGTGCAGTGCAGCATAAAGATGTACCATCAGGCAAAGCTCGAATCGATTGATGGTCGTTTGAAAACGGCCACATTCGCCCTCGCCCGCTCACCCTATGGAACAGCCAAAAACTGCAGAGAAACTGTGTTTGCAGAAAACAAGTATAGCGTTGAAATTAGAAACGATTACGCTATCGAATGATTAGTAATAGTCCGAAGAAAGAGCTCAATCTGGCGAGAAAGAATGCACGTCAGCAACGCAGGAAATTTCCTTTTGTAGCGGCGTCAAGAAAAGGCTATTCAAAATCGGCGACTTGGGGCTGTAGCCTGAAGTCTCAGCATTCGCATAACAATCCTATGAAAACTACTCTCCAGCGAATGATATCGGTTTTTCGTTTGTTCCCTTGTAATCAGAAAAAGCCAACATCCGCGTACCTTTACTTGTACTATTATTACAGCAAAAAAAGAAAAAGAAAACGGTGGAGTCATGGTTGTACACTTAATATATTCTTTATTGTAAAACAGATGTGTTCAGCTGGAGCGTTTGAAACAACATTAGGAGTTTGCGTGAATAAAAGAATTGAGATTGTACAGCATTTCCAAACTGCCATTCTGTACAATGATGAGTACGCATTCTATTCCCGCCTAGTCCTACGCACCCAAAAACTCATTGATTTCAGTGATCAAATATCATGTCATGGAGGCTTAACTGCTGAACTTAGTTCACGAACGGCAGACATGTCGTTATCTCCACAGGATTGAAACTAAGCCCGAACAAGCTTACAGCAGTTCTTTGAAGTTTTCTCAGTGTACAGTAAGAATTATCTGATCAGTGTCGGCTGTAACATCCAGAAATTGTGAATCAAAAACTACAAACATTGAAAGACAAGAATTTAGACTAGCTTTTCGGCTCATGCACCAAAATTTGTACATACGGGGCTCGACGTTGGTCACACAGAGACATTGAACTAAGTGCACATGACCGTGTCAATG